GGGGGGGGTACTTTTTCCCTGGCTGAGATTTTCCTTACCTGAGCCTTTGCCACAATTTCTTGTCTGTCTCCTTTGGTCTGAAGATTTGTAAAGTAGGCTAATATTGCTGGAACTACTAAATATCTGTTGAGAAAGAAAGACCACATCAATTACACTTTAAGGTACACGTATATTTATATGCAATGAACCAATGTCACTGAAAATTTCATCGATTTTTTAATCATCATCAAACTATAGTTTACCCTATCCAAAATGACTGAAATAATTGCAATTATAAACCAATCTTTTAGTTCTAAATGTTAATTCTTTACCATCACATGGATAATTTGTAGGTCTCCATCTTGCCTTTCACAATGCATCCCATTACCCATATAAAGATATGACGTTTTCTTTGAATTATATTAACAACATAAAATATTTAAAATGGATATTCCGAAAGATTTGATCACCAAAAATCTTTTTTATCTTTGTAAAAAGGCTGTGCTCACACCCTTATGGTACAGTACAATGTACAGTACATGTATGTCATAAGACTTATTATTGACTTTGTCTCTACCAAAGGCTAAAACAACGAAACTGTAGTTAACAATTTTTGATCGATTTTAAAATTCAGACTGTTTTATAGATTTATCCACTATACAAAAAAACAGATTTTTTTAATTCCTTACTTTATGTCTTGTGTTGCAACTTCTTGGAGTTCCTCGTTCTCACTGAAGAGACTGAGCTGGTTAATCATCAGTATAGCTTTTTCACATAAACCAATGCCTTCCTTTACCTTGCCCTGGTAATATAAAACACATGATGTCTTGTCAAATAGACATGGAAGAAACAGGTACATGGATATGGTCATGTCTCACACTGATAGATATTTTATCTACAATTAATTCAGTTTTTAGAAAGAAGTCAAGATTTTCACAGTGCAAGTTGAAAGTGGTCTGATTATTCAGGTGTACTTTTAAGATCTTGGTGTCTTACTTGGATGACCATGGAACTACTAGATTCTTGGGTATTATCCACAGATTCATATAACTTCCAAATGTCATCAAAGACGTCTGGAAGACGCTGTTCTGATTCTGTCTGAGATCCATGTGTGTTTTCGTCCACTGCTTGTGCCATTTTCACAATTCTCGTGCACTATTCCAGTCTCGCGAGAAGTGAACACTGCAAAATGGCAGCTCCCACGAGAGCTCGCACTCTCTCCGTTTTGCGAGGATTACTCCACGAACTAAAGCTGATGACACCAAAAGTAAGAAGATCATTAGTATGACAGTGTATTCAAAAATCATACAGCACATTGAATACTTAACCTATTGCAAACATAAACTTTCTGAGAAAGCACTGAGTTTTACCAAGGAGTTATAACTCCTTCCTTGGTTTTACTAAAACTAGAGTCTAAAATCAAACCAGTGTGGTTTCAAGTATTTCTTGTTGTTTCAGTGATAGACCAAAATGCAGCTCGGTCATCTCAGTTTATGAATAATATTTACATTTATACTTGTTAACGTTTATGGAAATGAATGACGGTAACATTATTAACATTTACAAGCTTAATTATTTTTAATGAGAAAAATGAATTTTGTAATTATTCTATTGTGTTTAATTTTATCAACAGATCATATGCCAGATTATACCAATTTTCATTTTATACTTTTATGTATAAATTATTATTATTATTATTATTCAGGCCCGTAGCCAGGGGGTTTGAAAGAACCACCCTTTTTTGCTGGGAAAAGGTCCACTCTGATTTTATCTAAAATTTGATCTATGTACTTGAGGATTTTACGTTAAAAGGTCCACTTTTTCAGAAAATGACATCCCCCCCCCCCCTCTGAGATTGCTGCCTGTGGGCTTGTTATTATTATTATTATTATTATTCCCAGAGCAAACTAAGAACCACTCCAGTATATTCCTATGTGTTGGACCAGTACAGACAACACCAGTTAACCAGTAATACGTACTGTAAGGGGGATGGAGCTATGAATCATCTTGCTGAAACATACCTCTGTCTTTTGAAAAGTACAAGAGAATGTAAGGTAAAGTTCTTGTAGACTTACTTAATTTGTGTGTACACATGTACACATACACACTAGTTTGTTGATTGAAAGATAATTTAGATACTTTATGAATTTTTAATACAGTAATTTTTTGTATTTGTTGGAAAATTCAGAAACTGGGTTATGTTTTTAATTATTCTTTCCCAATTATACAGCAATGTACAGCAGTCTGTTATTTGTTGGAAAGTTCAGATACTAAATTTATATTTTAACAATAAATAATGATTCAGAAGAAATTAAATTTTCATATCTGTGGTCATACATTCATTACAAATTCTTTATTTTGATTTCATTATTTAGGTCAAAGAGACCTCTATGGCAATATTTATAAAAATAACAGATTTTAAAAAATCCATATAGCTTACTTTACACCAACATGAATAGATACTGTGTTTCATTTTCTCTAGCCAATTTTGGGTGTAGCAAAATATTTCAACAGAGAGGCATGTAATGACTAAAGTGCTTTTATTTTTTTATTTTGTAGGAACTAAGAGAGGAATTCAAAGGACACGGAGAAAGAAGCACTGAATCTACAGCAAATCTAGTTGGATATAAATTACCTGAATCATATACAGAAAATGGTTCGGATAGCTAGCTTGGATATACATATTAGGGGATCTGTAAATACTACATTGTCTACATATACATGATTAAATATTGAATTGAAAAACTGATCTGATATTGAGTTGTTGTTTTTTTTACTTTTGCTAAAGCAACACGTCTTTTCAGAACTGCTCTGATGAATGTCACTGGAAGTAATTTAATTTTTTTTCTTAAAACCTGTCTTTTTTTTTTTAACCAGAGGGAAAGCACTGCAAACATAGTTTGGAAAGATCACTTATCTCACATATCTTAAAGCCATAGTTAACTATTTGTGTTATATACACTCTGAAAAGGATTTTAATAATTTTCAATATTTTTACCTTACGCACAATGCCAAAATCGATTTTCTGTCATTGTTGAAATTTTGTTTTGAGAAAACAACATTTATTATTATCACTATAGGCAGTGGTTCTTGAATGTCACTGTAAAAAATGAAACAACTTACCCCTTCAGTGATTTTTACTTGGGAGTAATAGTGAATTGATCAGTTTTTAACACCAACCGTCTGTCGTTATTTTTCCCTAGGCTAAGGTCATCTCTTAGAAGGCACAATTAATCTAATTATGTCGCTCAGCTGTACTCAAGAACTTGAAAAACATGTCTATAAACTAGAACCCAATGTAAACAAAAGGTATCAGCAGACAAATATAATCATAGATATCTGTAAACCAGCAACGTCTGCACACTAATTCTATCCCTTTTATCAAATAAAACAACATCGCAAGTCTGAAAACAATCGTTCCGAGCAATAGTGTGTTAGATGTGACACGTAACACAATCCACGAGAGCATATCCACACGCATCTGTCTAAACGGTTTCATGCAATGGGAATTGTGCCGTTTACGTATACATCAAATCCTGTCACAAAAATGGAGGCAAAGAAGGGTTATTGCGATATTTGTTTTCTATAAACACAAAGACATGTTCATTAGTTCTGCAATTAGATCACGGAATGTAGAATTCTTTGAAGCGCTTCAATAAGTGCGGTGGTGAATAGACGGACTTGGAATGAGAAAAGATTATTGTGCCATAGACTATTAGATTTCCGCTCTAATATGAGGAAATGGTTATCAGTATCTATTTGCTGTTGAAATATGCCTTCATTGTAAATTAGCAGACATCCGAAGTTCTCTATAACGCCATAAAACGGGCTGGTAAAATGATAGGCCCAGTTTCCAGACATTTCCGGATTTGTTCGAACTCCGTACCTTCATTAGAAAGTGTTCACAAAGTAAGACATTAACCTATTTATATACATCTTTTTCCAAAAACCGTCACGGTGAAAGCGAGAAAAAATAATATATCTCTAGTTTTCAAAAATTCCTACACTTTTTAGCAAGAGCGTATGACAGTTGAACGGACGCTTTTACCTAAAATAAAAAGGCGGACCCAAGTTCCCCTGAAATCATTCGATATCGGAGTCAAGGCAAGGGCAAAGAATTTAAGGCTGGGTTGGGTGGTGGCATCCTGGCTTCTACGGGTTACTGAGAGCGGCAGATTTGAGGTTCAGGAGATTAAATTGTCTCACCCTTCGGAAACCTTTTCTATAGAACGCTGTCTGCTGCACCTGCGCTTTGCTTAAATGAATATCACTAGCGACATCTTTAAATCAATTAACCAATATGTAGTCTTCTACCATGGAAACGTTTTAGGTACATGTATTTACGAACATATCTATCTTGGGCGGTCTTTATTATCCAAAGGTGGTTGCACTCAAAAAACGGACCCACTCGGCTAAACCTTGCATTTTTTGTTTCTGTTGAATAATCTAGTCCCAAAATTGTTGCACTTCTCGGTAGTTTTCTTAGGAACATAGAAAACATACAGGAGACAACCTATTGTTGCTTGATAAACGACAAAAGATTGTAAATTTATATCGTTTATGCCAAAAAATAGGTTTGAAGAGCGTTAACCCCGCCATATTTAATTAAAAAAGATCTGTTATGCAATAATCTACCTGTGTGCACCTCTCTGCTACATATATTCTGACATTTAAAAAATTAAGACATGAGTTATGTTGATATTTTAAGTATATGACGCTTGTAGGATATGTCCTCTTCCTTGGCCTTCCGCTGTCAAAATCAACAAAATATGTAAACATTTTGGGGTTTATTCATACAGTTATTTGTCTGAATTTTTATTTATTTGTTATGTATGTATGTATGTATTATGAATGGAAACCCTATGTTTGTTCGTTTGGTTTAAAACTTAGGTTAATAATATCCCGAGACGGCCTCGAAAACAGATTCCCTTCGTTATTTAATTATTAGATGAGGGAGATATCCTGCCTTAGATAGCAGCTCTATCACTACCATTGTGCGAATTTACAATCCAAGGTTGGGCTCACTTGGTTTCCCAAAGTGTTTTAAATTCATTATCGGATATTGGAAATCATCTTTAGTTGGCGTCCCAAAAACACAGTCAAATGAAGCTTTTCAAGGGTTCTTTTTTCACGTGGCAGTCTCACACGCAAGATGTCTCAGGTGATTTAACTGATACTCGGCGTGATAGCAATACCCTGCAGATTTGGAGATTACATTTGGCAACAATAGTTGAGTTTCCATTGCTAGACTTCGGTTTTCTGCTTCCGCCTTGAGATACCATGAAAGAGCCACCAAGGCGGTCTCAAGAACCTTTTTTTGCGTGGACCAAGCATCTCTTCACCAATTACACGTAGTTTAAGTGTATGGTATATGTACATGTAACGTGGCTCTTTGCGTCTCCGAGTGTGTTTCGTGTAGATACCATTGTTGGGTATATAAAAGGTTACCTTCTTTCAGACTTGGACAAATAAAACGATTTATTCGTCCAAGTTTCAGATAATTATTTTACCAAAGACATGTCCTGTATTGGATGCAAGTTAATTAGAGATAATTTCTGTTCAAACAAGGGTCACCTATCCGTAGGTACACTGTAGATGTTGTTTTCTACAGATTTGCCCGATAGAAAAATGCTATCTTCTATTCTTTTGGCTTTCTACTGCATGCTTCCGCTGTAACTCTGTTGACAGTAGAAATTCTCGAGGTGGTGAAATTTTATGTAGCATTTCCTGGGCAGCTGCAGGTTCTAATGCCTGTTTTGTGTAAGCTTGGCCTTATTTGCTTGGTTTTACCTTTCACCCACTATAGGCTAAAAACGTCAAGGATAATAACCAATATCTATATGCGTTACTGGAAGATGTTGCTGTAACACCCCACCCCCACCCCAAATAAGAAGGCAAATAGTATAAATTAAACTTTGGACATATTTATTTACTTTTAAATCAAGATGATCAATTACAGCTAGCGCATTTTGCTTCTATTTTATCTCTGATAACTTAAACTACGCTTGAAAAAGGCATTCCGTTTTACCCCACGTGCGATTGTCGTGGAAAGGTAGTCAAATTTCAAAATAAGAACTCTGTATCATAGTTTAATTCCGCAGAAGTTAAAAGGTGATAATAAGTATTTTATTGTGTGAACTTGCACAGATTTTGCACGATTGAGTTAATACCAATGAGAAACTCTCGACTCTGTACCCTACCAGCTATATAAAAAGCATGTACCCCCAGATGATACTAGTGGCAGATTTAGTGGGGGGTCTTGGGGAATCCAGCCCCCCCCCCCCCCTTCGGTTTCTGAAAAATATACCACATCAATATTCCCCTCGTGAAATTAGAATTTAGACTTGCTGAATCATAGTTCTAAACCATACCAAAGGACACTGTTTACTCTCCTAAACACACAAAAAAATTTCGGGGCCCTTGAGTAGGCCCGAACCCCACACCAAGGGGGCGGCGGTTGGCTTCGCATCCGATGCCTGTCGTTCCGGACCCCCTCCCCCCGCCCCCCCTCCCCCCCCCTTCAAATAATCCTTGATCCGCTCCTGGCTATTTTATGTATTACAGTATAATAATATAATTGCACTGGTGCAAGACTGTTACTGTATATTGACCATGTAATGCACAGTAGCCTAACTGTAAAATATGTTTATGGGCCATTTGCAATGGCCTTGTGAATTCAGCTAAAAGCTAATCCAGGTTTGCTAAACGGCATAACGGTAACACGTACCGATAACATCGCTATTGGTATCAGGTTTCTATCGTTTTATTATAACTGTCATCTTGTCTTATACACTGTTGTTTTGACAGTGGTATCTGGTGTATTTAAAGTCGCTTTCGCTGACGTCGACGGTATAACTATAACCTTTAACCATAGAAGTTCTCTACTTCTATGCTTTAACTAACTGTGTGAATATATATATATATATATATATATATATATATATATATATATATATATATATACTCACACACACACACACACACACACAGTAGAAAAGTTAATAGTTAAAAGGAGGGAAAGATTAGAGCTGACTAAGACTTTATTTTAATACGGAGAATTTACTTATTACTTTAGAAAACGATTGACCATTTGAACGCATAAACTCGTGGATCCTTGTCTTATCTATAGGCCCTTTATCCATAGAAGACAGTAGGGCCTATCTTCCAATTACTTTATATGGAGGCGGCGATTTTTTTCACGGAAATATAGTGCCTTAAAAATAGATTTTTACACATTTTATTGGCAAACATCAGCCACACCTTTTTCCGTCAACCCATTGCACAGTAGTCAAACCAACTTTCTGTTTTTTTTTTTTTTTTTTTTTTTTTTTTGTCTTTCAAATAACATTTGTCGGTACGAAATTAGGCACTGAGTTACTACTATCTCTTTGCCGTCTGAAGGAATGGGCCTCCGAGCGTGGTCTCAAAATTTAGATTATTTATCCATCTATTTATAATGCATATATTTATTTTTTCTTTTCTATTTAATACATTTTAATACATTAAAAAAAAACACGTATAGGCCTGAGATCGGCGTTATGGCGTCAGATCAGGACTTGATGTTAATAGTTTCCTTCCAAGCAGGTATTGACTCTTTGACACATTCACGGCGTTATAGACATCGAAAAGAAACTTTCAGCCAATCCCTTCCTGTGATTTGCGGTCACATGACCAAGGCATTGAAGTATGTGAAGCGGCAGGCTAGTATGTTGGTTCACACTTACAGCACGTTGCTGCGGCAGGCAGAGCAACTCTATCACAAACCAGTGGCATGTAACTAGCATTCTAAGCGAGTACAACATGAATATCGATGGCTTTTTGTTGATGGGAACTTTCATAATTTTGGCCTCTAGTGCCGACGCGGACTGCGTGGTTGGAGGGGAATCCCTGGAAAAGAACTCAGCAGTTCTCGTCACTTGCTCGGGGAAAAACATCACCTCCGTGCCCCAGTCAATTCCGAAGAATGTCACCGAACTGTAAGTAGGCTGTGTGTGCAATTTGACTTTAATTTTCAGAAACGCGAGAGGTTGTACGATCCCAGTTAATCGCGCCTTGGGATGTGTGTACTCGCTCGCGTTCTATGAACTGCATCCGTGTTGGTGTCGGTGCTTGCGGCTGTCGCTTCCAAAATTAATCATTAGCGGCACATTTCAAGCGTGATGCATAGTGAAACCGCAGAAGGCAGCCTTAAATATCCTAGTGAACTCTTTATGTTGGGTTTATTTACACGCATACTGACTATGTACTTGTCCGTCACCAAGGCTAATCTTTGAAATTAAAGGGGAAATGTTTTCAAGTCGAAAAGATCGTGCTGAAAAAATTTTGTCAACGGTGAAGTTTTGTCTACTGTACTACGGGACATAAAATGAACTCTGAGTAATTGTGTGTGCCCACATTCTTATAAGATGGGAGGCACTGAAACACACACCTTCTGATTTCAGAGCACATGTGCTGAGAAGTAAAGTGATTGATGCAGCGCAAAATCTAATTAATTATCATTGCTTCTCCGAGGAAATAAGTATCTTACTATATTTTATACTTTTGGTTAAAGCTTAGTCTTGTACTGATTAAGAGTCTTTTTAAGTTACATATTTTCTTTTTTCCTTTTCAAAATTTAAAGATTTTTTTTAGAGGGCAAACATAAAAAATAGCTAAATGTTTTCTAGTGCAGATTTCACTTGGTTTTAATTCAACAAATCCCAATGAAAAATTGTCAAACGTTTTTTAGTGAGATCTTGTACAAGAGGACTGCAGTTAAAGTGAAAAGGTTGCAGGGTAGACATTCCTCATTCTCCAGTAAACAGATGCCACATAAATTTTCAGTAACACCAACTAAAACATGTAGGCCTAGGTGGATGTCAACCTCCCGAGCAGCAGATTTGTGAATGTGATGTCATGTCTTTTTTTTTATTTTTGTGTTCTGGATTTTAACTTTTAGTACAATTAGAACTGATACTCTAAGGTGTTTCTGTGCATAGCACTCATCTTTCTCACCTGCGTACATCACTGTGATTGAGCTATTTACTTAGTATGTGGCTTATCTCTTCCTCACTACTTCTCCGTGGCCCAAAAAAGATAAGGTATCAGTATTGACTTGAAAAGTGAATGGTGGTGATCCACATACTCTGATCTCCGTCAGCAGACGTTTACACTTTTTCCCTCTCATCTAGCTAGCTGATGGGCACCCTGAGTGTATAGAAATCACTGGAAACTCTCCTATGCTATCAACATGCCTCTGCCATTTTCAGTTAGTTAAATCTCTGAAACTAAGGGTGGGAGATTGCAATCTGTGATGAAAATTCAATGCATAGTCTCAGTAGTTTGAGCAGTTTTCATCTAAGGCTAAAAAACTGATTTTGATTGAAGAATACCAGTATTATTGGATTTCTTCATTTTCCCAAAAACTGAATTTATCCAGTGGGCCAAAACAGAAACTATGTTAAAAATACTATACTTTTTTTTTTTTGCACGTGATGCTCAATTTTCACCAAAGGTCAAAAAAGATTTTGGCTAAAGAAAATGAGAAAATGAATAACACTTGGTTCCTTTAATGAAGGCTTTGGTTAATTTTTTCTTATCGGCTTTGATAAAAAATGTTATGTGAGATTAAATCTGGCTTGTGTCTGATGGCATATTCATTATTTTATCTTTTAAACCTTCTATCAGAAGAAAAATCTATCCCCTGTTAAAACATACAGTTTTTACACAGATGCTTCAAACTAGTATTAAAATATCTGAAATAGTTCATTTAAAACAATTATGGCATTTATGAACTTTTTTTTTTTTTTTTTTTTTTTGGAATAAAAAACTTAATGATTTATTTGGTCATAACTGTTAAAACAAACTATTCATGTTTTTGAATAACAGCTAAGCTAAAAGCCAAACCCCAGTATTAGAATCTCCTTCCAAAGATTGCTCATTGATAACTGAAAATAAGGTCCATTTCTATGAAGAAAATATCATAGCCAGGGTAAAAGTAGTATTGATCTGAAATGTGCTGGTATGAAAATTAAGTAAGCTTGATGTTGCGCACACAAACAACAGACAAGCAGACAAAATTTTACCTTGTTATGCCAATTCCTCTTATCATTAAAATCCATGGGATTTGAAAATGTGTAGATGTGAGCATGTACACATATTCCTTTTCATCTAAGGGCCTTGTTAATTCTTAGAAATGGGAATAAATGGCATGGAGTGATGGGATTTCATCTTTATGGCCATCAGAACAACAACCCATACGTGCTTGTATTTCAAGCTGTGTGGAAAGTAATGTACTTGCAGATTGCCCCCAACCTCTCTCCTAGATGCTGCAACTGAGGCGCAGTCGGTTTGAAACCACAAGGCCGCAGTAGTTTTTTTATTTCAATCAGTGAGTTTGTCTATTTAAATGCCCTTTAAACACTGGGACTGGGGTGCACTTACATGTGCCTCATCAGCCCTCATGTTTTTGTTAAATTAAGATGCTTTAATGTGATATGGTTGTCAGATATTAAGACTAAAGCCTTCATGATTTTACCTGGTAACTTCCCTTCCTCTATTAGATTTGTATTCTGGACCTGGAGATTGAAGCACCGGCAAGAAGAATTTACTAATAAATTATAGATGAGATTTCTGTACTCGAACCATGTCTTATGTTGTACAGTCATCAAGTTTTGTTTGTTTTAAATCCATTTGCACTTCAAACTGCCAATAGTATATGGGTGCTGTGATGTACGGCTGAAGTCGTACGAGATAACACCAACAAAAAGGTATTTAATTCAAATTGGTGCAAATGAATGGTAAACAGCTTAAGCCCCAAATTTGATATCAGTTTGTTTTGTCGGGTGTCCAGAACAGTGTTGAATTTTATCATCGGGTTTATTGGCAGGTGAAGAGCCACATAAAGTAGTCATTTTTATGGGGTTATTAAGATGAAAGGGTTTAGTGTGTTCTGGTCACCTGCTGATATTGTAAGTGATAGTCCAGCCTATTATAGATGACTGACTTGCCTTAGTAATTTTATTCACCATAGTTGAAGTTTATTGAATAATTGGCAGTGAAAATGTTTAAGGTTAGGAGACCATGAATCCACATAGACAAGAATGTTTATGAAGATCGTGCTTTTTACTAAATCTGTTACAATGGAAATCACATGAGATAGCCCAAATCGAGGCCGTAGGCACTGTGTGACATCACATGAGATAAAACGTACAAGAAAGTGAATGCAACCAGATTAAAAGATTACAAGACATACTGTGCCTCCTCCTTACGTTGAAAACAAAATTGCTGGTGATTACATGAGTACGTTGGAAACGAGAAGAGGCATGTTAATCTGATTGTATTCAGTGAGAGTCCCCGCGGAGTAAGTTTGAACTACCTTATGTGATAGTTTTATTGTAAAGGTACCCTAAAAAACAATACAAAGTGACACACAAAACATGGTGAACTTAATTATACTATTGTGCAATAGGAATTTGACAGAAAAAAACAAAATATCCATGGATAAATTCTGTCAGTGTTAATTCATTGCTGCATTGCACTGGTTAGTCTGCCATTATTTCTGACCCTACTCTCCTCCATGATTTTACGCGAGGGCCATCTTGGATGTTTTTATTTGCTGTCTATTTAAGCAATAAATGTGTTTGTTTTTGCAATGTAGGCATGTTAACATACAGAAGCTGGATATAACATTGGTTTTTCACAGTACACATATTAAGCGACATGGGTTTTATTAAATAATGTTATCTTTTTAGACTCATATACTTTGTATCTGTCAATTTGGTTAGGATAAAGTTGATAATGGTAATGATTAAAAAACTCTGTTGTCGTCAACTAAATTTTATTGACAATGTTAATTTTATAAGTATCCAGAAGACGTGATGACTGGTCAGCGAGTGGAAGTGAGTATGTGTCCAGAAATGCAATAAAGTAGGAGACTCATTGCTGTCAAAGAGTCTTAACCACAAACTGTGGTTTGATGAGCTAAAGATATACACTCTCCACTGCACACAACACCACCACAACACTGCAGTAAAGTGTTGTATTTACGCACTGTTAGATAAATCAGGTACTTGTAGATAAATATCTCCCAGTAACAGTTCAAACAATTTGCCCCCAGCTGTTGAAGTCTGGTTTCCTTCAGAATAATGCATTTACATGGTAATTTTTGGGGGGATTGTCTTTTTTATCAACTTTTGTTTCCTTTCAATGAGTTTTAGAGGGATTCTACCACAGAAGGAAAGAGAAGGAAAGAGAATGAAACAAAACTCAAATTTTAACACATTTAAAACATGTTATTGTTAAAACATTTAAAATTTTGTCTAATGGCTAAGCATCGAAACAATTAATTCTTTTTTTGCCAGTCAATCATTGAAAAAAATGGCATTTGGAAAATTTCATCAAGAAAAAGTTGTCATGTTATAATTTTTAGTATGTTTTAGGACATACTATTTTTAGTATACTTAAAATACAAGTCATTAATTCAAAGAAACATAGAGACCCCTAGGTTAAATATAATTAAATTATGATACCCCCCCCCCCGAAAAAAAAAATGTATATATATAACAAAAAGACTTGTACAAGAAGTTGAAAGTGTTTATTTCTTCAATCAGTGGGTCTAAGTGTTTTAAAGCAGTTCAGTTACATTACTGTGAAATAGGTAGAGATTGTATGTGCCTTTTAAAGTTGATCCCATTACTCAACCTATCATCATTTGAAGAGTGGATTTTTATGCAGGTAGGTAATACAGGTGTTTAATTGTTTGATTTATGTGTCAAATTACATACCATCAAGGCTCACACCGGGTCTCTGTAACTGACATATTGAAATACTTTTGGTACCATCTAATACATTAGGTTCTTCCTCTTAGATTTTAATGTTCCTGTTTACTGTTATATACTGTTATATAGGTGTCCTATCACCCAGTGCTGCAAGAGGGCTTGGAATTAAGGGTTCAATACATATCAACACAAATTATCCCCCCCCCCTCCACAGAATA